GACAAAGAGGAAAGCTGTAGTGTTTATATGTTTCATTTCAAAATGCTCTGTACCTGCTCATTTCGTGCTAATAAAGTTAGGCCTCACTCAGTTGCTCGGGGCAGTGTTTTAGCACCACTGTACTGCTGGACCTACAGGGTTTGCACAGTAAAGTTCTGCTGTTTATATTGTAGGAGCTTTAGTATCAGTTGTGCCGTCATTATGGAAGGTATTAGCCACGTCCTTGATGACAGCTCTTAAGCCAGAATAACAAAATACTGATAGCACTACATAGACAGAAATCCCAAGTATTGCTTCATTTGACTCCTACTGCCCTGACTTGTGCTATTGATTCTTTCCTGCTCAGAAGAGATCACTTTCTAAATTCACCGTAATTGCATGAAGTTGTCTACGCATAGTTTGCAGTCATTCAGAATCATAATTTTCTTAAAGGATTTGTTCTGTTGTGCCTCTGCAATAATGAGTAACAAGTAAAGCCTGTTGACTTAGTAACACTGGTGAATCAGATGAACACCATAGAAGTTTGGTCTGAAAGGACGTCTTAAGAAACTTATAAATTACTACTGTAATATTTCTCGGTCACTTCTATTTTAGTATTCTAAAAGGACTGTTCAAGTGCAGTCTTGTTTGTCTTTTAGAATACTCAGTGGAGCGGCTCTCTTATAAAGTAGTCATAGTTATGCAATGTGGCATAATTATTACAGCTGTTAAATGCGATACCATACCGAAATGTCTTGCGCGCATGATTGCATATGTTTGCATTCTACCTAATGCATCACAGAGATTGTGCACAGCTACACACTGACACAGTAAGTGAAGGGCTGAGTGAAAAATCATTTTGTGAAAGATAAATATAAAAATCTGTTTTACGCATTGTACTGTGGCAGTGTGAGTTTAACACAGCCATGAAATCTTTTAGAAACAAACACCAGCAAGGATTGGAAATTATTGGATAACTGTTTCCATGTAATGATATTTCTGTATGGTAATTACATTTTTAGGCCAATATCAAGATTCATGGAACATTAGTCTGCAGATTTCTGTATTTTAGATCAACTTAGTTAATATATTTCATCAAGAGAGGAAATATCACCTTGCAGCAGATAGAGTATGCTCATGCAGTTTGTGGGCTGATGTTACTTTAAAACATAAGCAGGGTGACATTTATTATGACGTTTTTCACATGTTTACAGAAAGGCAAGAGTTTTCTCAAATTCTGTGGGAGATGAAGTTTGTATATATGTAGGAGAAATAAGGGTATAATATTTTGTTTCAGACCTTTATCTTTGCTTCTCTAGTAAAAATATATGTGTTAGTTCTAAATTTATTAACAGAACAGTTTTTGTACATGGATCATGTAATAATTGTTTCTGTTAATGTCGCAAAGCTGAATAGAAGTAACACAGTGTAAAATAGGTTAGGTCTGCATGAATGTGTGATTAAGGTTTTGTAAGAAAAACATTGCAAGTTATTTAGTTCATACTCTAAGAATGTAGAAGTTGGTTTGTTGTATTGAATTTTTAAAAATACTTCATTTACATGTAACTAATCAAGTAATTCTGGAAGTGTTTTGTTATTAAACTGCAGTTGCTGGTATTACAACAGTGGATGTCTTTGCAGTGTGGCACATAGTCATTTTAAATTGCTGTTCAAACTTAAATTAGAAGATGGCTGTCTTCTGGGTCATTGCATCTTGTAGTCTGGTAGAAGTTTACTGATGTTTCAGGGCCCTGATGATGAAGGCAGCAAGGACCTCTGAAACGTCAGTAAACATGTACCAGACTACACTGCACATTAACCCAGAAGACAGCCATCTTCAGATTTACCGCCATGAAAGGCTCAAATCATACAAACTTAAATTACTGCAATTATTTGGTAATATATGCTAATGTAGCAAATAAGTAACATATTTTAAATAATTTGCAAAAATAGCTTGAGAATGTTATGTAAATGCTTGTGTTTTTAATTATATCATGTATTAATGAAAATAATGGTAATATTACATGTTTTAAGAGAAGCACTTAGGAGTCTTTCTGACTAATCAGGAGAAGTGATACATTAAGCAGAAACTGCTGCTTCATACATTGGCATTATTTAATGTTAACAATATCATCTTCTTTATTTTCTTCATAGTGAAAGCTCAGATTTTGCTACGTACGTAATATTGAAACATCTCTTGTTCAAAGATAATAACATCCTGAATACATGCAATGTAAACAATCCTAAATATTAGCCACTGCCTTTGACACATGGATTGCTGGCAAAGTGATGACATTATATATTTTGTCCAATTCTGGATGTAATTCATCTTTCCCAAATGTTAAAAATGAATAGTCACTTACTTTGTATTATCTTCGTTAGGTAGTTATTAGGCTTGTATGTTAGTTCCAGCTTCAGATGAAGCTGTCTGATATCTGTTTTTCCTTCGTCCTCCTTGCCTGTCTCGTGACAGTCTCAGGTTGCATGTAATGTTCAAAACATCTGATTTATTTCACAAGTCTTCCAGTTATTTTGTGATCATATAATGACCAGCTGTCTCTGTTCTTTGAATACGTAATTTAATCCATATAATGGCACCAGAATTGTCATTACTTTCCAGAGCTGTAATTTCTATTCAGGTTATGGCCACTGCGGTTTCCCTTCACAGAAACAGTAAATGTGTGGATGAATTATGCTTTTATGTTTTAAGCTGAGCTGTTACGTAAAACTAAATTAATCTATACAATATTAAATTATCATAAATCTTTGTGATAGTTCTTCCAAAAGTAATTTTTTGTTAATACCTTGCTGGGTTATAAAGTTTTAGCTTAAACTTTCCAGCACATGTTTAATAAGCTGTTGCCATGATAATTTGATAATCTGTTTTGACAATTTTTTTCATGTAGTTAATAGAAGTAGTGCAATATTCTATGCATCAGTATTTGTACACTTTGCAGCAGACATTAATTAAATCTAACAGTCTTATTGGTATACTTAGAGGACCCCCATTTTAATAATTTGCATAGCCATTAACTAAATTAAATGCCTCTTCTTTTTACTGTTCCAAGTAAACCCTTATGGTTCCTTTTTCAGACTCCTCTGTGAAAAACTGTGCGTTTCTCTGTTTATCCATGTGCTGTTTACAGTCTAGACATTGATGTTATGGACACCATTGTTCCATTTGTTGTAAACTCTGCATGAACAACGTCCTTTTTGAGGAAAACCTATCCTTGGTTCCCATCTTGATTTCTCGTAACATCATTCCTCTGTCAGGCCCTTGAAAGTTACTGCTTTTGCTGCATACAGAAACCCAGTTTCTTTGATTTCAACTCTGGCTTAAAAAAACCCTAGTGTTCATTTTTGTTAATTTAATTCTTCTAATAACCTCAGCGTCCCACGCCGTAGCCACGTGGTCTGAGGCATCATGCTTCGGACCGGCAATACGGAATGCGCGCTGGTTCGAGTCTCGGGGGAGAAGAAATTTTCTCATGAGCTTTCGACCAGTGTATGGGACCGGTGCCAACCCAGCATCGTGAGGAAATTAGGGAGCTACAATGAGTAGCGTAATCCGGTCAGGAAAGCTAGCAGTGGCTGGGGGTTTGTCGTGCTGATCACACGTCACTCTATATCTGGTTGGATGATCATTCACCTCTGCTTAGGCATGTGAACGTGAGACCAGCAGTCAAGCTAGTCGGCTTAGGCTCTCTGGAGCTGTTAAGCCACGGACTTAATTAATTTAATAACCTCAGCAGTTGTGGCATTAGGTATTTCAGAGGCTATTACCAAATGATGATTTGTATTTATATTTTTCCTGCTGTTTTGTGAATGGGGACTGAATCTGCATGGCATGGTGTTCACACATAGATGCAACATTCCTCTTAATGTGTTGATATTCTTCAATTTGAACATATGCACCTTGTGTATGTATTGGTATTTTGCTTTTAATTGTTGTCATGGATGTAGGTGTTATTCAAATATGCGAACCAAAACTCCAATTGTAGTTTGAGGACACTCTTGGATTTAGTATTTCTTTGCATTGTAGAACAAAGCTTTATTATACATGAAACCTAAATGCCTTTGGTTAAAGGTTAAAAAGGATTGTATATAAAATATTCTGGGTGTGGTCCAAAAATTATAATATCCGGAACATAAAGGTGCGTTATGCAGTTGGTCTTGAACACGCCTGTGAAAAGGATATGTAACAGACATTTTTGCACTGAGCTGTCAGGTTACTCAGATATGAGACATAAAAGATTAGTGCCAGACAGGAGTGGAGTATTCATGCTAATCATTTAGCCCAGCCAACAGGTTTAAAAATAGATTCTCATGATTTTAATTGTGTAACGTTTGTTCTGTGAATGTGCTATGTTGTGATTGGTTATTGTGCGTCATGAAATATGAAGTACGACATATGTACTCAATTGCCAACATTTCTGTAACTCTGACCTTGAGATTTGGCTAACACTTTTGAACAAGTCATGCTCTGCCACTGATTTCAGATGTCAGTTTTTGTGGAGTTTTATAGTGATTCTAGAGTTGTAGTTTCAATATTATTTACACTGTAGATATAAATGATGTTTCTTATACTTCAGAGTACCAGAGTAGATCATTTGTGGTACATAATGGCAATGCATCACCTACTTCTGATGAGAAAACCTAACCTTTCATTGCATCAGCTCCTATATTTATTGTTCTCAAAATTATTAAGTAATAAACAATTGAAACAGTGTTGTTAAATAGCATGTATTTTGTTTCTGCTACTACATCTCTGTGATTAGTTGGAAACTTTGATATAAGATTCTTTCCATTTTGTAGTTTATCATCAGCCAGTTTGAGAGTACATAAAAACTTCTTGCAAAGAAATGTTAATCTGAATTCTTGTCATGTTAAGCTAAATGATAGAGTGGCTACACTGGATCTTACTTTTAGGGTGCGACTTATATATGTCTACCTTCAGTATAAACAAAAGATATACTTTCACAAATTTTCTGATTTTTTGTGTAAATATTCATATGTTACAGATCTTGCAACCTCCCAGGTGCCATCCTTACTGTAAGTAATTTCTTCAAGCCTACCATGAATTGAAATGAACCTGAGTGACCAGACTATTTATCTTGTTCTTCTTTCTTTCTTCTAAGGTATAATAATGTAAATTCAGGTTTCTTTCAATAAAGTGTTAAGTGAAATTTTTGGTAGAGTTTTAGAAAACTGCACTCATTATTTACCTTTAAGTTATACTTCAGTATTGCTAAATTCCAAACTGCTGTTGATGTTCATGGTATGGATACTCAGTCACAAAACACTGGACAAATTATTAATACAGAATATTTATTTCATAAACTAAAAGGTGCACCCACCAGAGGAAGGGTCTACAGAAACATTGGTATTTTCTTATTGTCATTGGTGCTTACTGTGGTTAGTTCACTGCCTGTTCAGTACACATCGTCTTCCATCCGCAGACTACACGAATGAGTCACAATGGTCCTGTGGCACTGGAGTTTATGTCCAGTGCCTTAGACTATTGACTTCAAAAATCACAGGAATGAACAACTGCATATGTACCTAAAATATACAATTGACTTGCTGTAAGTCTGCATAATAATTGAAAAGCATACATCTCAACCCATCCATGTGTGGCACATAACAGTGAATTTCACTGTATTAGAGCTGGTGCTCAGGAAATTCAGTTGAGATTGTCATAAATACACATTTGGCTTCTGTTGTTAAAATTGTATGTAACACCACTTCTTGGCATTCAGTGAAGGAAATTATAGAATAATTTCCTCATAATGAAGATCTCTTAATTTATTAATATTCAGTAACTGTAAGAACACAGTGCAATGTGAGGAAATAATGACAGCATAAGATAAGATGTGAATTGATTGAAGTGGTCTAGTTTTAATGAATTTGTTTGATTAAAGTTATTCCCCTCTTGTCATGATATTGGTCATATTTGGACTGATATCATGGTTCAGCTATGGCATAATGATGTTTGGTATATGTACACATATTGCATTATTCAAAAGTAGCAGTGCTGTGTGAGAGTATGAACAAATCATCAGTCAGTAATGTACAAATCTCAGCTGTAGAATTTACATCATAGACAGTAGAAATCGTGTTTCACTTCTGCCAAATGTTACTAAGTGCTTACTCCTGATTGTATTTGGTATTACCATTACAGACTTGTAAATACGAGATTATGATCAAGGAACTGATAAATGTGTGTTCGTTTTATCTGCGTGGCATTATTCACATTGTATCTCTAAAATTTCAAATAATTTGACTATGAAACTTCTACAGCATATTACTGTTATGCTATTTTAATGTTGTGTGTACTTAAAATTTATATCCATCCTTCGGTTTTGCAGTTTGGTGACTTTTTTTTTTAAACCCATTGCATGCTTTGTAATGTTATTAAGACTTTTCCCCCCTGCTTTCATGCGCACTGAAAAGTTTCCAATCGGTCTTGTCATTGGCTTTGTTGTGCCAGAGCTAACTGTTCATTGCTGTTGCATTCAGAACAAAACAGTAAACACGTTTTGACCATCTGTAAAGTTTCTGCACAATTCCATAATGTTTTTCTTTTGATCTCTTGTGTGGTTCACATGTTTCTGAAGAAGGAAGTCGAGTTCTTTCCTCGCACGTCCTGCTCTTCTGGCACCCTGAAGTTGGTTGTAGGATATGTATTGGTGGATGAAATTAGTATTGCAGTTCTTATGATGTAGTTCCACTTGCTGTTACTGCTGTCATCTGTGCCTTCGATCGGGCTCGGTTGGCCTTCCTGGCACATATTGTTCCGAACTTATCGAAACCCCTTTAAAAAAACAATAATTTCTTTAATTTATCTTCTTCCAAGTCACAGCTGGGACTGTAACCTCTTTTTAATTTGCTTGTTATGTCCTGACCACAACTAGCTGTACGTTTTTCAGAATGCCATAGTTTACATGAATTCTCTCATTGAGATACAGGATCTGCGCAAGTTGCGTCAGTGTCTGCTACACAGTCAAATCCATGTAAATCATCAGTATACCAATACATGCTTTAATTTCCCTCAAGTTTGTTGGGCAACCCATTTAAATAGCTCATCATAGAGTCTGCTTTCTTGTATGTTGGTATGACTACATGTTTCACAGTCCTTCTTCTGGAACATTTATCACATCACTTTCTTTCCCAACATGCCTGTGCGTGTAAGAAGCTTTCAAATACATGACCTTTTTTTCTCTTTTGCCTGACTAGTGCGGATAAAAACATGCTGAATGCCAGTGTTTTGTTTCTGTAACTCAGCATATATGCAACCACTAATATGAGATACGTTTGACTCTGTGGATGATTTTATTATGTTTTACTCTTCGGATGAGGAAGGGTCTTTGTCTTTTGACTGTGTTGCAGTATGTTAGGAGAAACAAGGGGTTAAATTGAAGATTTCTGTCTTCTGGGTTGTTGCACCTTGTAGTCTGGTCGATGTTAACCAACGTTTCAGAGGTCATACTGCCTCCATCATCAGGGCGATGAATAGCCCTTGGTTAACATCGACCAGACTACACAGCGCAACAACCCAGAAGACAGAAATCTTCATACTCACCGCTGTGAAAACCTCAAATCTTACAAGGGGTTAAATTCACAGGTGACACAAATATAAAAGTGAGGCTACTATTAAAATTAGAAGTACAGGCCCTGTTGTTCCTAAGGTGAAGATTTCTCACTGGATGTCTTTTTTGTGTCGGTGGTGTAATTCCATGAAGTTACTTGATAGGAATAGTTGTCTTCTCAAAGAATTTGTTTTAGTTGGTCGTAGCTGACGAAAGCTCCTGATAAAGCGAACACAGTTCTCATGTACATAAATGATAATTACAGCACATAGTAAGTCATTCTCCTCTCTTATTCTTTTTGCAATGATTTACTTTCAATCATGAATTTTTTTTCAGCATTATGTAATGACAAATTTATTTCATCACTTCATTTATAGGTATCTGCAGTATTAAAAGTACATTGGCTACAGTTATTGAAGTAGTAGCAGATAGAATCTTTTTATGTTCTTCCAAATGAAAAAGAGCATTTATATGTAAGTGTGAAATGTTATGACTGTAATTTGTTACTTGTAGGTAAGGACATGTTTTAAGAAAATTGTACATGTTAGCTTCTAGTGATCTTCTGGAAGCCCTTCATTCGTCGAGTGCAAGTGTGAATTCTAGCGCGAATATGAAATGAAATAACAGTGGCGTGGTTACATTCTCTTTTCAGGGGATATTCTGTGCACTTTTTTATGTTGAGGTTTTGCAGTAGCATTTACGTGATGTATCCATTCTGTCAGATAGATCAATGAGACTTTTTTATACATTTTGTTTAATCATTGCTGTAGATAATTTAAAGTTGCATATTATATTTATTTTCATATTGTTTATTATGATTATCTGCCAACATTGTAGTTATGCTGATGAACTCAGTGTTGATTGTTGTGGCACCGATTGTAAGACCATCATGTAATGTCATTTGATGTAAATAAATTAGTGTAATTGTCAAATTTCAGAGTGATGAGTTGGTGCAGTGGTCCTGTAGCTAAATGTGGTCAGAAAACGTACTCATGTTTGGGACAGTTATTTCTCATGCAATTTTTGCTGCATTTGTTAATACTATTAATATTCAAATTTGAACGTACATTCTGGTACCGAGCACAGATTGTAATTTTTTTATTGGTCAAGCTATGGGTCCTGTTCACCTCTGATTTACTGTGAAGCAATTTATTTTATATATTAGAAAAGCATACTCAGGAATTGGGATGAAGTTTTTGAACATTCAGTGATGCATTATTGCCAGTATCTGCAGTTATAAAAGAATATAAGCTGTCCCTGTACACACCATGTGGGCACTTGGGGGGGGGGGGTAGAGGTATAGATCCTGCTCATTCTTAACCTCAGCACTAGATGTGGGTGAGTGGTCAACACCTGGGCTGCACTTTACCCAGGAAAGGACCCCGGTACTCATGGGACAAGAGGCTCGGTGGGCCGCAGAGCTGGTCAGGATGCAGAGGCTAGAGGAAACATTATCTACCCTTGTAAGGAATTGAACCCTGGTTATCCAATAAATGCTGAAATATTCTTCTAATGCCGTGTAAACTTTAAGGTAGATGCCAACGTTTTGGACGAAGAAACTGCCTGCAACTTCGGGTATCAGCTTATATAATACTTTTGAAGGCTAGATATCTTCCATAGAGAATTTTGCAACAGCTGGTATCACTCAGTAAAAAGCCTTAACAATCTTAAAATGACAATACATCTCCATCACCTGTGTGAATGTGAGTGATTCTGCTCTTGTCCATGATGAGTATCGACTGTAATGAATGGGTTGGTCTTGGGAATGTGATCAGTAGGATAAGATACTCTTTGTTATGTTGGTTATTCATGAATTGAAGTATAAAATGTGTCCTTCCACTGTTACTTATACATACATCTTTATTACATTCTATGGATCCATAAGATAGATGATAATACAATACACATTATAAAGTACAATTCATACTATTATACAAGTTTCACATAATACAACAAAGGATTCACCTAAATAATAATAAGTTACGAATAAATCTACATATTACATACCGAAGATAAATTATGCTTTGTCTCCCTTTGCCAGCGTCGGAAATGGGTGGTTGACAAGAACATGCATCGCAGTAGATACTTCTGCTACAGCTGAGCAAACCATTGTATATATGCTGACATTGCTGCAGAAAGCACTTCTGAAGTGTTATGGTATATATAAATGGACACGTGTGTTACCATACTCTCTACAGGTATGTCTACCACCATTCTTAAGAAATTCTGCTTTAGAGTTTCGTTTGGACTTCACATTTCCCACCTTTTCTAACAATACGGTGATTATTTTCTAGCTATCTCTGTGGCGACAGTCAGAGAACAATTTCCAGATGATAGATCGAAAGAAAAATCTGAAGCATTCTGCAGAAGGAGTCAGTCATTTTGCTGTGCTAATTTTCAGCATTAAGTACTTCATCTGTGATTGCTGTGGAAGTGACGCGGGTATTTCACATTACTTGGTGTGATGTAATTATGTTCCTAGTGCCAGGTATGAATTCTTTTCATAGGACTTGCAGAAATTTTGTTGCAGTAAGGAAGCCAAGTTGAACAGTGTGTTTTTCCGTCGTCATTCCGTTATTTTGCTGGACAGCAACGTATGTCGAGATTTGTTAAATGTTGATTGAGGTTATGTTGCGTTCGAGACGTTAACATCTTTGATGGTTAACTTAGTTGGCATCAGGAGAATGTTGATTTGGTTAGGATTGTGGCCTAGTACACCTTTATTCTAAGAATTTCAATGGAGTAGGTTTATATGTAAATACTGTAGGTATTTTACAGATATATAAGATAAATGTGTCATTCTGAGAAACAAAAGAACTTCGAATCACACATAATGAAATATAACTCAATACTCGTCAGTTGTTCATGATTTTAATTCACATTACCATATTCACAAAGAGAGGACTGAGTTGAAAATGTGTAACATGCTTCATTTTGATAAAAAGCATAGCTGAACCTAAGACAGAGTTTTGTATGCCTTGTGCCAATGGCTGGCAAAGAGAAGGATGGGTGGAGCCCAGTGACCAGTGTCGGGCCTCATTCTGACAGAACCCTCTTTGCACGGTAGGGATGTGCAGAAGCAATCTTTTGGCTGTTCGGTTCTGTCCAGTAGGTGTTTCCCTGCCGGTAATTGAACCCCAGCCATCCGTTCGTAGACGGCCACTTCACAAATTCAGCAAATGAAAACAGCATTTTCAAAATTGTTCGTGCCTTGTTCGAAAGAATGTATTGTGTACTAGAAATGTAGGTAAACATAAATATGTTTGAAGATGGCTGTCTTCTGGGATGTTGCGACAACCATCTTCAGACTCACTGCCATGAAAACTTCAAATCCTGTATAAATTTGTTTGGTACAGAGGTAGAGAACATGTGAAGCCTTTTTGCAATGTTCCTCATATGCCTTTTTTGTGGTACTTTGACACAGGTCAACTTACACTTTATTTACTTTATCCTATGGACCATCTACTCTGAGGTTTTCCAAATTATTTTTTTTTCTATAAGTTTTCCAAATCAGTATTTTATATAAATCTGCATATTCTGTTTTCCTCTATTAGTATTTTGGTTCGTGTAATTTTTCCTTGTGAACCCGTCTACAACATTCATATGAAACAAATATACAAATTACTTGGCATCATCTAAAGTTTTCCCATTAATTATCATTTCTCCATACTCATCTATCATCACTCATGAACTGTATGGTAACCCCAACCTAGTAGCAGTTTATATGTTTGAAATGTGAATACCTGTTGTATTAATACTGAGTAACAAAGTAACTGCAGTAAATGTGCATCTTCAAGATGAGACTTACTTCAAATCTGTTTCAGTTCTGAATCACGTCACTTTGCGGCACAAAAAGCACATAGTCTAACCAGTCACAGTGACCATAAGCGTAGCCTGGCCACGCATAGTAACGTACCAGCTTCACGGCAGGCTGAAAATGAAATGTCAGTGGAATAAAGTCAGTTGAACCACAAATTACTCAACAGTGTTATATCAAGTAGAGAGGTCATTACAGGACACTAGCAAGATGTTAAAGCTAAGGGCCCAGTTCAAGCATTTTTTGGGGAAAAAAAGTATTAATGCATTATGCAAGCAACACTTCTTTGCTGTTATCAAAGAAAATTTCCATAACAGAACACTGAAAAATACTCGGCACAGGGTTACTCACATACGTGAAAAAAGAAACTACAATTAGAAAGGTTAACTCACTGCATTGGATATCCCCAGCCACAAATATGCCCATAGTGTAGCACAAAGTACCGTAAGTAGTAACAGATTCTCATCGGACACCTCGATGTTGATAGCAGGTAACAAGTAGAACTTTGGTAAAACGAGCAAGAACATTCCTCCCCTGAAACCAAATGTCACCCCATGACAGCTCGTAACAGGTAACGTGGTAAGATTTTTATAGTTGCTTACTGAAATTAACCTTTTCATTTCTTGGGTTTTGGCAGGTTTGCCAACATTTTGGATAAACAAGCAGGCCACAGCATGGTGTCAAGCCCCAGATAAGATTGGTAAGGTGTGCCGTTTGAAGTATGTTTACATTACTTCTGGTTTGGGACTTCAGAAATTTCAAGCACTTCATTTTTGTTACACAGACTGTACATACAGGTATGAGACATGATACATAAAATTTATGGTGAGAAATTCCTTTTAAGGACATATGCCACCCTGTGGTTCTGAAATTGTGGGAAAGGCTTACAACTACTTAAACCTTGACTTGGTAAGATGATAAGGTCTTGTAATGAAGAAACCATTTCTTGCACTGTGGGATGATATAGATGTATGATATTCACCACTGGGAGGAAACCGTTTGTGGAGAGCTCAACAGATAGGACAGAGCCCCCTCGTAGTGAGGGGCACCCAGAAGCAACATCGAGTCTTTTGTCGGGCAGTGTGTAACATGGAGGTGGGGAAAAGCCCCTTTGGTGGGGCAGAGTCAAACAGGTGGGGTGGCCATGTCAGGCAGATACAACTAATGGGACAGAATCCCAAAGATGAGTTGGACAGCTCCTCCCAGCAGTTGATGAGTTCCATCTGTGTCATCCCACACCACACAACGGAATCCACTGCCTCACTGTTTGGGGCTCCATCCCACTTTAGACGATCTGACCGTGGGAGTTTACTGTCAGTGATGGATCTGCTGTATCAGGTCACCCCATGCCGTACCTCACTGGGCCTTCTTGGGTTCTGCCCCCTCAAGACAGCTCTGTCCCATCCAGTAAGCAAGAAACATTTTAGATTACACTCCGATGGCATATATTCCATACCAAGTTTCATCCAAAGCAATTAAGTGCTTCTCAAATTGAATTGTGGAGAGACAGATGGGCAGATAAAATTATATATTCATCTCATTCATACAAAGAATGCATAAAAACTGCATTTCAGATCAAATATTCAAGTGGTATTCGTAGTTTGAAGGTGGGCAAACTTCCACTGAAGATGATCAATACACTGATCATTTTTCACAGGAGTGAAAATCTGGATCATGAGGTCTTCGGCCATAACAAACACGATCTATTCATGCTAACAAATGACAGGACCAGTGAAATCAATGCATACAGAGGAAGATTGCTTTAATAGAAATACATGTAACTTTAATTTTTCCACTAAAAATATCACGTATACACAAAGAGCTTTGTTAGTTTAATCCATCAAATTGCTGGTCATAGGGTCAGCAGGAGGAGGGATTTTCTCTTCATGATCATATCCAGATCAACTCTGGGGCCCAGCCAGCCTCCTACTCAATGTATTACGGAAGTAAAGGGGAGGAGTTTGAAGGTCACCACTCACCTGCATCTAAATCAAAAATCTAGCTTTCTTGCCTCCATATCCCCAGCTCATCTTCGTGGCAAAGTGCCTAGGCGCACTGGCATCTTTACATTTACTCCCTACATCATTCCAAATTATCCTAATATTAACCATTATTTACAAAAGTCTTAAACAAAAATGAGGAATATCATAGTTCAGAATTGATTAGTACATTATCTTTCAGTTGAGTCAAATGCAATTTTGTAAAATCAATACTCACCATAGTACGCAGTGAATCACAAATAATGCACATGTAAGATTCCGCATGAAACCGGATTTTGTTGCTTTGCTTTGGTTCAAACAGTAGCATATCCTCATAAATTCTACATTTAATGAATAAACATTAATGAGAACTACTGCAGAAAGTCCTGTGCGTACATATCTGAAATAAAAACACATAATTACTAACAAGGTACTGTAATTTCACTTCAAGTATGGGATCAGTCATCAAGACTAAAGACACTGCAGTAGGAGCACATAAGAACAGCTTATACTTGCATAAAGGTATGACTAAAACATGAGAAAATAGGAGGCCTCGTTATATCGTCTTGCCATGGTGATACCTGTCATCAGCAATGACTTTATTTATTTATTTATTTAGTGTTCTGTCTGACGACAGGTCCATATGAACAGGATCCTTCCATCCTTTTCTCGGACTGGGACCTGTTCATATACGTTCTTGGCAGATGATCCAGAAGGGGTTTGCCATTGCCTTCTTCTGTGTGAGTGTGAATGGAGTAATTGTTGGGATGCCAATGAGGAAAACTCCGTGTTGCCTAGGCCACGGCCTTGCCCAACACAAGTTAGAAATTCGGGCACCGCCGGGAATCGAACCCGAGACCCCAGGATTACAAGGCCAGCGTTCTAATCGCTAGACCACCGTGGCAATCAGCAATGACTTGCATTTTATAATTTTGTGCCAAAAGCATATATACTTGTATTTCCCACTTCCAGGCAAAAGGATATTTACATTAACAGGATCGGGAAAAGTGGCAGTAAACATAAACTTGAGATTTGATGTCCTCTCAGCAATGTGGATGACGTTCTTTTGGGTTACAATGCCAAACAGTGCTGAAGATGGAGACGGTATGTTTCTCCAAATCAATGGTGTACAAGAAGTGCAACATGATCAGATACCAAGTTTTCTTAGGACCATTCTTTTTTGATGTTATTACTTTTTCATATGCCCTTGTACAAACTAGAAAGTTTAAGTTCAGCGTGCTCTTCCTGAGTTGTCATTACTTATGGATTATCATTACAAAGTTCAAACTGCTTTGGTTTATTTAAATCCTGTTCACATTTTCACGATATACTTCCTTAAGACCCACTTTAATATTATATCCTTCCATTCATACCTTGATTTCCTCTTGGAATTTTAAAAGCTTCTCATGTGTTTACTCATGTAAAGACCAACTTAAGTCCCCTCTTTTATTTATATTAGAATATTAAGTAAACAGTACAAATCACAAAGCTCTTTAATTTTCTCCATTCCAGATCAGTTCATCTCTCCTAGATGTCATTATCTTCCTCGGCGCCATTTTAAATACCTTCGATATTTGTTCTTCATGCAAAGTGGGAAATCCAAGTTCCACGCCTATATAAAATTGTCAGACAAACTTACAGTGGAACTGCTACTTCATTACCAGGAATCTCGGCCAGATCAGAATTCTTTCATAGATTTACATCTTTCTTTGTTACGTCCAAGCAAATTCCATGACTACCTACAACACCTTTCACAATTCATTATTACACTTCCATTTCGCATTTGATGGTGCCAAAGCCATCTACTCAAAAAACTATTTCTTCAAAATGTTAGCACTCCTGATTCATATCTGCCCAGAGACTGACTATCCTATCCTGACTGAGGGTTTAATAAATTTTCTGGGTTCCTTCAGGCAAATACCAGGATCATACCTTAAGTTAAGCCACAAAAACTTCCTTCCATATCCCTTCCAATTCATTACTATCCCTAGCATTTGAGGTTAACAGTCTGAGCAAGTTAGTGTCATTAAATAAATAATACAATTTTGTTGAAGAATTTAAATTAAACAGAAAATACAAACTTACCTTAGGGAATAACATGTGTACAGAAATGTAAGTAGTAGTCCTTTGGCAAAAAATTCTGTGTCAATGCCTTTCTGAACATACATTAAACAAATGCTGTGAATATAATATGCAAAAATAACACAACTGAAGAGTACATGGGCAGGTGATGTTTGTTCTGTTCTAAAACTATTATCAACATTGAAAAATATATCTGCTACATGGTTTGCACGCTCTAATAGCTTTGTAATACAGAACAGTATGGCGTTAATGCAGAAACCAGCATTCCACAAGGTTTTGGTTAGGTGCCTTCGATATAACATTGGCAATGTCATTCGCTTCAAAAACACCTACAAAGAAATGAAATGGGTATGAATACTCAACAGAATATCATCGAAATTGTTAAGTACAACGAACGTATAACAAAATTTAACTTACACCTAAGACCTTCCTATACAGATGGTAAATCACACTCAAAAGTATAACAATTAGCATGACCCATAACGTTAACGTTGTAGATGTAAAGGGTTTATCACATTCGTTTCCCAAATTACGAAGTGTAACAAACAGAAAGTACTGAGCCCGTTCAAGATAATGAGAGACAATTTTCAGGTTATGATTCAGTAGCCACTGACAGTACGTAAGACCGAACTCTAAATCCATATTTATACACCCGCAGGTTTGTCATTCAAACAGCAAACATTGGCATTGGTCGGGGAAAGTTACAACAAGCTCATCATTCCAATTATTAAAAATAAATATCGCGACGTTACCACTGAATGTTTGCATTGCCCATGCAATGAGTACGTAACCCGTGGAAGCATCCTTTCGCATGTAAAAGGGCCACAGTTAAACAATTCCGGTAGTCATTCTTGGATAAAACTAACTGTTCGTTATTATATTTACTCATTGCCCTGATATTGGAGGCAGTAAACCATCTCTTAATCGACGGTCTGCTTTTACGGCGCAATTTCACTGAGTCTAAATTCACCTGCGGATATGAATAGCTGTGCCTCCCCCCTCTAATTGGGCATCGCGGGGCAGACATAGGTGCTTCTCGTTCACGAGGCAAACATCGATGCAGTGCTCGCTGAGGAACTGTTCCAATTCCAGCTTCCTACCGCGAACACAGCCGCAAGGCCTTTTTTCCGTTAGTCCTAGGCCGCAAAGGCATACTTGGCTATGAAAAGGATTACGGCTTCAGAGACAGCTCGGGGACGAGCTTCTCCTGTTGGGTGGGAGGAGGCTGAGGAGAGGAGACGGTGTGTCAACTGTGCCGTGGTTGGAGTTCTCCAGATCTGATATCCCCTCGACACCATTTTTTGTGTGATATCCATGGATATGGAAGTGAATACGAAGCGATTTATTGTATGATTTCAATGAGACTAGTCAGGGTCATTAAATGTGATAAACCCAATGTTGGCATATTCTTTGGTATAAACATATACTATTAGTATCACAGTTATTATGGCCACTAGGTGATGCTAAGCCGATGTCATCATACAGTTTACTGACCATCACAAATAAAATGTCGCTCAATGTTCAGAATAAATTACACAGCTGCTTCCTGATGGATCCGAAAGTGAGCTTGGCTGTTGGTAATTAGCGACATCTTTCGCGTCCAGCGTGTACTTCGTACTTCCTCCAAGCAATTCTTTACAGATGTCGATAGGGATCGGTAGTGTTTGTTGCGTCTCGTTCTGTGTCAGATAGAATAGGTTAATCGGTATTATTTTTAAATTAAACCAACGTGAGTGTGACAGTAATGGAGTCGGTATATCAAAAGGAACATTGTTCATGGGTTTCAGAAAAAATATGTCTCCGGGATTATTTCTCCGCGTTTTCAGCTGCAATATCAACGATAGGCAGTTGTAAAAACATTGGTTCATATACAAGTAAAGTTGATGAGACAAATAATAACATAATGGAATTAATGGATGTTTCATTTACTAACGATGAAATGAAAATACTGTCGGAAACTTGTAGGTTTGTTATGTACCTTAAATTATGTTTGTTGTCCTTGTACTTGGAATGCTGTTGAATTTTAAAGGTGTGAAGGAACAATGGTTAGCATGATCGTTTACAAGACAGTGTTGATTAATTTATATACTAAAGTATCCACAGAATTTATTAAACAAGTACATACAAAGCATAATGGAACACAGCAAGTGGCCTGTTTTAGAATATATTCTATGAACTCGGTAATTACGTAACATGACTGCAGTGACAAAAACCTACCATCAGACCCTTTTATAATTCAGCAGCTTCTAGAAGTAAAGTTTCCATAATTTCCGTGTTAGTAGTGTCATACAAAAATCTTGTATTTCACTTCTTTCGATCAAGTTCTTTGTGATACAGATGAATGTTATTATTTTATTGGTTGGTTATCTCTTGTTATTCTCTCTTGCTTAAATTAAATGCCTTTCAAATGCTTTTGAATATGTCTTATTGATAATCTTTTGACAGTATAAACCAACTGAAAGTGCCAGGTGAACCCCCACTTGTTGATGTTAAATGTGTAAAAGCAAGACCAGGGTTGTATGACAAGTCCAGAATACCAGAAGCAGCTTCAGACTTGGAGACTATAAAACGCCTCAGCAAACGGATTATGAATGTGGAAACAATAGGACAGCTTAAATACCGCAGTAGCATTTGGCTTGTGAGTATCATGATAATAGTTTTTCAAATTGGATAACAATATTTCTTTGAAAGTACTGGAAAGGAAGAACAAAATAAATACTGTTATGTGTGTGTCATTATCATTGACAACTAAATTTCGGCTTCATGCTGACTGAAGAATGCTTCTCTGCATTTCACGATACTGAGAAATTATTTCTTCTTGAACATTCTTGAGGTCTAATAGAAATTTTCAGAGTCAATAAGTACATTGTTTAAGTCAAAGGAAGATCACTAACTGATGTGCCATCCACCCAAGATGGTAGGTCGGAGAATCACGAATGAAGTCCAAGTTTTAAATATTACAATAAAAGACGCGTTTTAAAAAAAAAATAAGATATCAGGTGTCATAGGACAAGGAGTTTTAAATATTACAAGAAAAGATGCATTTTAAAAAAAATAATAAGATATCAGGTGTCATAGGACAAGAGGTTTGTGTTTTGTCAGTTTGAAGCTTTAGTATTACTGTTATATTAGTAAAGTGAAAAGTAAGACTGACTTGTTACTATCTACAAAATAATGATTTTAATTCTAATAATTTATTAGAATACAGTTTTAAGTTATAAATTTTAATGCGAGACTGTGGAAATAATTGCTTTATGGGATAAAACAATTTGTCGCCATGGATTTTAAGTGCGTGTAAAATTATACACAGGTCTGTTTGTTGTGCACTGGCATTTCTTTGTTATTTTAACTGTGTAGTGGAACGTACGATCAAGAGACAAGAGAATCAAGTATTACAGCTGTATTCAAGAATATTGGCTCATTGTGGTTAGAATCTATGAAAACAAACCTTTTTCATAAACCATGTAAACAAAAAAAAAAGGGAATTCTTGTTCTACCAGTGGTCTGTAAATTTCAGCATGCCGTTTTCTTGGTTATAACATGTGCTGGAATTGGTATCCCATATCTGTATAGTATTTTAGTGCCATACTTAACCATATTCCCAGTCACACACGGTGCCAGTGATTAGAATATTGTTAATGAACAAAACAAAGTAGTTAATAGAACTTTGCTCGGAACTTGTGGTATTCAAACGACAGATAATCCAGTTGCAACCACGCTATATTACTAAGCTACCTACATAAATATATATGTATCCCCCCCACATGAAAGTGATGAAGATACATTTTGTTTACTCTGTATGAAGCCATTAGAATTTTCTAGTATTTAAATGTTTGTTCTGCTTCCTTTTCAGAGAGATGATTTGTTCCAGGCTGCGGATCTAGAAATTGGAAAGCACTTTCTTGTTACAGTACGTGTTTATCATCCCTTTTGTCACAAAATTGGTATGCGCAACACCCATGGTCCTCGCTGCAGTCAGGAGATAGTTCTTTTAGGAAATCAAATGCTTACTGATCTGAGGGATAAGATCCTTTGTCCTTCTGACTTAGCTGTTTCGTCTGAAGTGAGTGAAAATCCTGACCAAAACGTCACACAAAAGACAACGGTAAACACAAAGTTTTATACTCTTTCTAATTCCGAATCTGATAATGATATGCCATAAAATGATGAAAAGAAAATATGTTAATTGATCATTATTTGGACGGTAAAGTAATTGTCTTCACTTACATACTCTGAAACTTCACCTTGCTTATGACAGAAACTTGCACGAGTAGATTGTGTACATTCTGCGTGTCTTCATCGTTGGGTTGTGCTATAAGTCGAACTATAATAAATATAACATCGTTTAAACAAGTAATGAAGGAATACATAGATTCAGTGAACACATTGAGAATGATTGCAACGCATGTGTATAGTATATATATTGCACATGACCACCTGCAGATTGTGTAATGTGACTGCATTTTACAGATTTATTTGGTTTATTTAAGTCTTCACTGAAACAAAACTATAATTATTTGCTTCTTCACAGTACTTCATATAAAGTGAAGCTTTCATGGCGACTGAAGTTGATGAAAGATTCTCGGGGTACAAGCCGCGTCAAGTGACTGAACGGTAAATAAACCATATCTTCTGCTCACGTCTGATCAGATTTGTTACCCAGCAGCACTGAGGATGAGAGCAGAGATGGTTCTCGAAACGTTGGCAGATGATGTGGTTTATTCACCGTTAAGCCACCTGACGCGCCTTTTAACCCTCCACAGTACTTCACCTCCTTTAATGCTGTCTACTGCAATTTCGTATTCAGGTTTTATGATAATGATAGTCATCCACTGAACTCACTCCAGCCCCCACCCTCTCATAGTGACGATGGGAGTAGGAAAAAGGTATTTTGCCTGTGATTTGAGTTGGTACCATAGCAAATGATGGTACAGTATTTGTTCAAAAAATGTCTCTGACTGCCATGCTTGATTTGCATCGAAGCCTTTGACTGGCAAATTTCATGTAACGAAACTGCTGCCTCTTCTTCTGCTTAAAATTTTGCTTTTGCCGCTGACCGATGACCACTTTTTTTCTACCAGATACAACTTTTGCTCGTTCCCTACTTGTTCTGCTTTTCTTGGGACTTTAAATCATCACATTTGCATTCGTTCGTTTCCGACATCTGTATGTGCCTGCCTTGATGTCGTCGTACAGAAAGGATTCAGTGGAGTACAGTGTATTTTTTGTTGGATCACAAACTCACGTTACCTAAATGTGACATTTTACAGCACAGTATTCCTACTTTATAAATTCTTCCTGGAACTCTATTCTTATTCAGAATGATTTATCCCCTTTTGCGTTTGTTTATGCTTACCAATTTTTTTAATAGTCTTGTTTATTCAAAGCTCATTTGATTTTGACTTTAAGATGTTCTGTTTTTTAAGCTTTACTTTCATAATTTTGTATTTATGAAATCATAAGTCTTTATTTTAGTTGAGAGATTTGACTTGTTGTTTGCAGGATGAATACAAGTCTGGTTTTATTTTCATTGAAGACACTTTCTACAGCGATTATAGAGACCCTACAAATCGTGACTATAGCCGTGTAATCAGAGAGTGGGCCGCTAGTCATGATTTAGGACCATTTCAGACGGGTGTCATGGAGAAAACAAAGTTTGAAGCCCTGACAGTGAGACTGGGTTATCCATACGTGTATCAGCATCAAGGGAACTGTGAACACCTGATAGTGTTTAGTGACTTAAGGTAAGTTAAAAGTATTTTGTAAATAAACATATGGATCGTAACTACAAATTTCATGTATTGACAGTGCTTGGCTGATATTTCAAGGATCTTAGTAAAGTGAAGACTAAGTAGGATCTGAGGTTTTCACAGCGGTGAGTCCAAAGATAGCCATCTTCTAGGTTGCAGTGTCACGTAGTCTGTTAGAGGTTTACCGACATCTTAGAGGTCCTCGCTGTCTCCATCGTCAGGGCAGCGAGCGGGTGATGGAAGAACCTCCGAAACACTGGTAAACTTCTGCTAGACTATGGCACTACAACCCAGAAAACAACTATCTTTGAAAGTGAAGACTGATTATCTGGATCCCAGCCAATTTTTAAGAAAGCAGCTCCCCTCCCCCCCAAAAAAAATTGAATTAATAAACTACCTTGAATAAATGAAGTTTGGAGTGTAAAGGAATCTCCATTGAATTCCCAATACTACTTGCATTTACTTAACAGTGTTACCAGTATGTCATCAACATTATTGTTGTTGTTTCTTGGCTCTACAACCCAGTTGTGGGTTTTTGCCGCCTCCTTTTTGGAGGTTTCCTAGTCTTTGAAGTGTGCATTTGTGAGTAGCGAGTGACCAGTCCACTGACTCTGCACAATTTCTACTCAATCCAGATTTGACTGCTAGAGCCATCTAGTAGTGAATCAGGAGAGACTTGGTGAGAAATGGCCACTGAATTTTGCTCACGAAACATCTCGCTCATGCTCGTAAGATTCTTTTATGTGCCGTAAATCTCGTTTAATATACTACCTTAGCGTGCAGGTAAGTCACTAATGTGTCTTAGTAAAATAGTAGAAATTTTGTTGTGAGAAGGGAAATGTCTTTCATTCCAGACTGCTTCATGTAAGTGATTCATTGTCACTTCAGAACTATCCCTGCTGTCGCAGCATTAGCTCAGCAAATGCCCGATACTGCATGATTTGTAACTACTACGTTGCTCGGTAAGTGAATAAATTTTGTTTGACTGTGGGTTATGGAAATAGTAACTAGAGACTTTTGTGGCTTCGTGTCTTTAAATTGATGTGATGTAATAGAATCTGTATGAATGTTTGTAGCCATCAGGAGACGACAATTTTTCTTAAACTGACATGAGTTCTTGTACATCCCTTTGGCTGTTAACTGACTAACACCGTGAAGAGTCCTTTTTTGAGAAGCTAATAGTGTGCTCAATAAGGCACGTAATTCGTGTCGTAAAACATTTTTATAACAAAAAGTTTTCTGAGCTGTATAATCAGAATAGCAGACTTGATGGAACCTTTTCACATTCATCTTTTGCAAAAAAGGAAAATGTGTATTGTTTACCTGCATGTGAGTAATCCTACGTAGAGATCCTCTTGTTATTCGCTGATGTTTGCCCCAAACTCAAACGTAAAGTGCTGTAGACAGTCATGAGTTGAAAGTTATTAATAATTGTTTTATTAAGTTATATTAATATGGATTAATTTTTCTTTCTGTAGGTGGATTACTTTTGAAAATGAGAGAGTGCCTTTTGATCCCTGCTTCTTTTGTGAGCATTGCTTCCGATCGTACAACTACGTCGATGGGAAGAAAGTTGGTAATTTTAAGGCTTATCCATTTTATGATAAAACTGCTTTGTAGTGATGAAGCAAATGAGAACATTCTGTATTTATTTTGTATCTTCATATTTGTTGTCAAGTAATATTATAATCTTTTGTACAGAATTAATGGCACAAATGAAAGAAAGAAATGATTATTAATTCCATCAACTGTGTGGTACTTAACATAGAGGATTCGGTTCACATTATTCAGTTAATATTATGGAGACAGAACAGAGTTGTCAAAATGTATGTGTATTTAAGGTCCAGATGGGGGTTCTTTCTTCCCCTCCTGATAAATTCCGTATTATTTTCCATATGTGTGTTTGTTTATATGAGCCGGGATAGCTCAGTCAGTATAGTGACTAGCTACGGGCTGGACGACCGGGGTTCGATCCCCGACGGGGGCAGAGGATTTTTCCTCTAGCCTCTGCGTCCAGACAGGCTCTGGGGCCCACCCAGGCTCCTCTACAATGGGTACCGGGGTCCTTTCACAGGGGTAAAGCCGGCCGGGGTGTGACACTGACCACTCACCCCTATCTAGTGCCGAGGTCAACACAGTAAAGTTGATGTGTGAAATTTCAGTTCAATGATTTTCTTTCTGAACAAAATGTTGAAGAGGTGCAGGTGTATGTTTTCTCTGTGAAACCACACCGAAATTATCTGTTATTAAACCGGAAAGACTTGTGTACACATGATTCTAGAAGTTCTTGTGGTGCGTTATTTAATTTACACACTGCGCCCCGTTCTTAATCATCAGTTATCTTATCTACGGAAGTAAATACAGAAAATATTTGAAATATAAATAACATCCCCAAGGAAGAAGTCTTAGGTTAACAGCGACTTAAAGTTCATTATTATTATCCAACCATATTACATCGAAACATTATTCATTGGGACCAATAACCTTTAAAAATGTCTAAACATTTTTCACTGCGACCATGCAAAATGTCATAACAGGTTTCAGCCTAACAAACACATGAAAATTAAATAATTTGATAAAAGTTTTCTTATATTCATTGCATTTTGCAGAAATTGCCCCTTTGCTTCAGACACCCCTTGGCACTGTTTAACATTACGAACTGAGTTCAGTGTACGTATTTAGACTAAATGCGTACTACATGCTGAAGTCTGTTAGTTGCAACGAAACATTCTACAGTGATGGACTTCACAAAAGATTCGCTTATTTTAGGCCTACTGCTACTCATTTTTTGCAGTCCTTCCAGTGCCTGCAGGAAAAATCACGAACCCGCAGGTGAGTGTGCATCCTTGCTGTAGAACAAATGGACACAGATCTTTATTGCTAACTAATTAAGCATTTTTGATTTTATGATAATACAGAATTAATCGATAGGGCTAAGAAATGCCAAAAATAACCACGGTTGAGGCATGCGAAGCTAAAGGCAAGTGTTTGACTTACTGGAGGTCATAGATCTGGTTTACCTGATGGGCCTGGTTTGGGATTGTGTTCATCGTCCGGCTTTGGTGTTGATGGATGGATATCTGCGGCACGTATTTATGCATTGCCCAAGTCGGTATGCCATTTTAATTTCAATTGTCCAAGTGTTGCTCGGGTCTTCCTGGTAACAATTCCAACCAGTGTCGATTCCCTCCGTAATCTGCAGCCTGCCGCTTCCGTTTTCAGGTCGACGATCATTACGAAGAGGGTTGTAGTTATTAGAATGAAGATAAGAATTTCTTTTTTCCAGCAAAGGTCATTGTTGTACATTCACCCCCGCAAGAAAGAAACTGTCCTGCATATTGCACGAATGGAATTTGTAATGAGCATGGTTCCTGTACGTGCTGGAATGGATACATAAGCACACACCCTCTAAATCAGATTTGCAAGCCTTCCTGTCCAAAGGGTTGTATCAACAGTGAATGTACTTCTCCAAACACCTGCTCGTGCAATGCTGGGTATATTAGGGACATTAGCGACAGCACTGTCTGCAACCCCAACTGTTTTCTGCATTGTTTGAACGGCAGATGCGTCTCCCCGAACACGTGTGTATGTAACTTGGGATACACTAAGGATCCAACAGATGAAACCGTCTGTAACCCTGTATGTTCACCGCCATGTGTGAATGGTAACTGTGTTTCTCCAGACACCTGCATGTGCAATCCTGGCTACACTAAGGACCCTATTAACACCAGTGTCTGTAACCTCAACATCTTCAGCTATGAGTGTAAAACAGGTTATATCAAACATAACAGCCTTTGCATTCCATATTGCCCAAAAGGATGCACAAATGGCATATGTACAGCACCTAATACTTGCAAATGTAAAGAAGGTTTTGTAGAGGACAATGAAAATGTCTGTATCTTCAAGAACAGAAGTTATTCTTCAACGGTAACTGACAGGTAAGTGACTTAAATGAAGTATTAGATTAAAGTAAAGACATATGTGATTTCTGATTATTTCTCTTTCAAGCTAAAATAGAAATCAGCTCCTTCATTCAGTCATTCAATAATTCATTCATTCATGCGTGCCCAAATACTTCTTGTCTGTTCCTGAGTGATGTCCTAGAGATGTAGGTACTCGTGCATTTTCATCTTAGATGCTGTTGCTTCTCTTGAAGAAATAAATATAACAACAATTATGACAAATGACTCACGACTATACACTCTAAGTATCGAGGGTATATGTAAGAGTCAGTAAGTACAAAATTTCTGGCTTTGCAAATTGATAGCCACCTTAATTGCACAAATCATGTTGATAAACTGATAGCCAAGTTAAATGGAACCTGTGTCGCACGTCAGCAACACTGACTCGCTTTTGAGTTTATTTTGCCAATTTTTATCCCATATTGAAATACGGAATAATTTTGGGGGGGATAATTCACCTGACAGCAAAAACATTGTTAGATGAATCACTGTTGTCAAACCTCTAAATTCGTGTAGAAATCTAACCTCTTCCATGTGAACATATATTCTCATTAACAAACTTCAGTCGACCAAAAGTATTTTCAAACTAATTTGGCTATATACAGTGTCAAGACAAGGAATAAGAATCAGCTTCATAGGCCAGTTGTCAACCACTCATGTTTTTAGAAGAGTGCATATTACGCAGGCATCAACATTTTCAAGTGTAGCATCGTAAGATTTGAGGATTTCATGACATGATTTCATAGATGGCTGTCTTCTGGGTTTTGACGCTGTGTGACGTGGTGGAGGTTTACATATGTTTCAGAGGTCCTTCCTGCCTGCATCTTGAGTTCTTACAACCCTGATGATGGTGGCAGTAAGGACCTCTAAAATGATGGTAAACTTCTACCAGACCACACAGCACTACAACCCAGAAGACAGCCATCTAGTGTCACAAATGTTAAAAATAGAAAGGCACACTTTAAAGTAACAATAAAAATGTACTTAATTACATGCTCCTTTTACTCTGTTGACAAATTTCTAATGTTTAGAAATAAGTCATAATGTTCAATAAACTTTTTTATGTTTATATAATAGGGTAGTATAATTCATCTAATGCATGTAATGGGTTGAGCACATGGCTTTAATACATGAAATCTTTATAATCGTAGGAATTGTAAAAGTAAAGTTGTTCCACTATACACCATGTAGGCACTTGGGGGGGGGGGTTATAGTTCATACTCATTGTTCTTGTGTAATATGTATTGTATCATTATGACTTATTCCACATTCTTTTGCCATCTGACTTAAGTATGGATCCACAGAGTTTAATAAACATGTATTTTATTTACCATAAAATGGAATGGTTCATTTTTACATGTGTGCTGAAGCTTAATGTTGGTAGTATGTTCACCAAAGAAAGATATAATTAATACCTCATTTTGAGGTAGTAAATCAGTCGGTTGAAACATAGCCTTGACTGGATAAACACATAATTTACTTCTGAATGTGCAGCCTGCTTCATTTTATACTATGCCATCTTTAATCATAGACATTTCATTCTGTTGAATGTTTAGTTTTCTTCCATATTTCTTGCATTTATTTATGTTAAAGAATTATTTACAGTGCATCAGACCACCAGCTTCATCCAGCCGCTGATACGCACATTCCACTGTGGGTGCTGCTGGTGTGCACGGCTGCCATTTCTGTTCTCGTGATAGGCACCGCAATTTACCTCCGATACTATCGACGCGAAAGAAGACCACCTCCATACAGCGAATGCAATCATGGAGCTGGAATTTGGATCACCTCAAAATAACCATGCGTTCCAAATTCTTAACCAATCTCATAAACTTATTCTCTGTTGAAGACGTTGGCTGAAGTACTTCAGTTGTTACTCCTTCGTCCTACGGAGTATCTGGAAGTCTTTTACAGACTTTCAGTTTGTACTGAATGCTCAGTCGATGTTATGATGTAAATAAACACACGTCATAAATTATATATCTGCGAAAGACCACAAATACTGTAAACATCTTGATATATTCAAGGTAGTTTTGTTGATCAGCCATATATATAAACAAAACAACAGCAATAAAAATTAAAGCAATTAACTGTAGATTACCCTACAAAACACTATTAACACTGTCTTGTAAATAGCCAGTTGTTCTACATCTGTCACTGATTAAGCCACTTCTTTTGTTAATTTTGATAAAGTGAGTTTTTTAGACTTGTTTGTACTGCTGATTGGCCCACTTCTACAAGATTATAAAAAAGATGTAGTGGAATGGAATGTAATTGAAGTAAAAATAAATCTCACAAAGTAATGTTGGTACCACTTATCTTTAAATACCTCAAATGACCTAATATTTTCTATCAGTTATCACCTTCAGTATCTCAAATGTATGGAGTGCTGCATCAGTGAAACTTTCTAGAGGAGTTTAAAAATCAACAAATATAATAAATAAATAAATTTATTTGACTGCAGTTGGACAGATGTCTGGTGGCAGGGATGAATCCAGTAAAAACAAATACATTCACAAGTACCAAACAAAAATGAACACAAGTACCAACATAATCACAAATTCCTACATGATTGCATCGGCACAGGATTTTTACCAACAGATATGCCCAAGCCTCTCATTTTCTCGCCAGATTTACTACACCCCAACTTATTTTATAGTCTTGGTTATGGAAGACTAGTGGACGAGTTCTGAAAGATTGATGCAGGTATTTATTTCAATCTGTTCTATTTGTATGACATTTCAGAACAACCTGTATTTGACTCACAAAACTACAGGACCTGTATCAGTAGTGAGGAAGATGTTGCAGAAGACGATGGTGAATATAATGTAATGGAATATTTATAAGATGTTCACCAGAGACAATTCAGTCTGTACTGTTTTTGTGCTCTTTCAAGGGAATGGTACGGTTGGTCATGCCAAAATCTTACCTGAAATTTTGCTCGTCTACAGAGCCCATCTAGTAACGATTATACACAAAATTTCAGCTGCTGATGCGCTGTGCAAGGGGTGAGAAAAGAAATTGCTCAAAGTTGGAATGGTCAGTTAAAATTCGCGCATGCGCGTGATAGCAGCGCGGTATTCGCCGATACATTGCAGCGGAGGGCGTGGACCAGTAGCTGAGAGGGTGGTGAATGATTAGTCTCCGAGGAGCTAGAAGCTTAACTATTGTTTGTGCATAGTAGAGTAGGTGATTTAGTGACGTTGTGATGTCACGCAATACGCTTATCTGCGACCTCAAGCGTTTGTAACGCCAGCGCAGTTCTGTCTGCGCAGAACAAGCCAAGTTTACGAACTAGAGGAATGTGCAAATAAACCTTTAATTCGATGTTCGTGGTGCAAACTGAATATATGCTTCAAACATTCTATTGTTGCTTCATATTTCTGTCACAATTATAGTGCATAATTTTGTACATTATTTTTTCGTACGCATTCTGCGAGCTCTGCTTTATTCCTAATATAAAAAAATAATAACTAAACACTTTCGCTGCATTTCAACGATGGGTTATATAACCGGGTGTTATTTTTAAATAAGGGTAAATGAAATTGTAAAATTTTCTTAATGCCTCTTTTAATTACTTTTAAATTTATTTCCTTCTTATAGAAAACACATTTAATGTTAATTATTGACTTTTTACAGTTGGTATGGAATAAGCAAATTATAACACAGAGTAATTAGCTTTGTATTTTTTCAACTACCAACAATGTAAACATCGAACAACAATGGTCAGCTTTTATATGAACACCTGCGTGTACAACAATGTAAGAAAAGTATCGGGATTTATAAACGACACCTGTAACAATGTTGTTTATTGTAACAATACTGGCGTAAAAAGCAACATTGTTACGTCATAATTTCCTTCGGCATTGTCGTATTAGTCAACAATCCGCTATCGTCATTGTGGAAAGATCTGAGCTGTGAATCGCTTGTAGTGTGTCGTAGACTTATCTTGTGTGAATTACTAAGAAATTCTCTCCATTTTATTTTTCCGGTGGACATCTTGAAGAAAGAGTGAGGTAAGGACATCCTATTTATTTATTATTATTGCTTATAACATCTACAGGTTTTCGTTTTCATTTGTGAACGCTTGGAAGAGAATTAGGCTCGTCGTCTTTCTAACACAAATTCAATTTTTTATTCCATTGTCTTCTGTTTGTTTACGGCGTCATTTATAATAAAAGAATTCAAGACATGTTAGTATCCGAAATTCTTGAAGAAACTGTTTAAACCCTTGAAAGCCTGGTGGCAAGTTTAAATACCACTGAGCTTTTCATTATGCATTTGTCGGATTCATTTGATTCTCAGCTGAAAGTTTGTGGACAATCATTGCTAGATGGCTCTGTAGACGAGCAAAATGTCAGGTGAGGTTTCGACATGACCGACCGGACCATTCCCTTGTTAGTAGAGGAGAGAGATCGCATCCCCTACGTGTGCCACTACCACCAACAGACAGTTCTACCGAACGCGTTTCACGAGCCTCCAAATTTCACAAAAATTCCTTAAAAAGTTCTCGAGTTTTGTTGTTGCAGAACATGTGTTTCGTAAGATCATTGACAGATGACATCTCGATCTCCGCTGAAGAACTAAAACGAAAACAAACATAAATCGGTGTTCTAGGGAACGTTTTATTCGAAATAAATGTTGGCAACAGGATGTGCAAGCAAGACTATCTAGAAACTCAAATGTTTGACGCCGTCATTTAAAAAATATTTTCCCTCACGATATTTACGTTTACGTCCATTCCAAAATAAATACGGAGTTTCAGTAACTGCTTTCATGAAATACAGATGGTGCAAACATCAGGACTCGCCGATCGTCCCTCGAAGGCGCCATTTTACATAATGGTACTTATGTTTGTCAAAGTATATTTGAGGGTAGACATAAAAGTTAATTTAATTAAAAGCAAAGTCGTAGATTGACATGGATTTTAATTTCTAGCGTGTCCTGACTTGTAGTAAGTACACATATCATCATAACATCGCCAACACTGACATTAGAAGTTCATATTTGGGTCGTAGGCGTCCTCACGATCAACTCCCTTTTACCGGAAATGCAACCCAATGACAACAAAGTGTAACCGTGAAACATTGTAAAAGTTCCATATACGCCATTCCAGGAACAAAGAATTGCTCATCGATCTGACTACTGTACTAGAATCAAGGTCTCTGTTATCCAGGTCATGGCGCATGCCGTAAGCCGACGATCAATAACAACACGGAGTTTCTCCTGTTGAGGAACGGCTAACGAATAAGATAAAATTATGGCCACAAACAATAATAAAAATTTACGAACCATCGAGAGTGATAAGAATGTATAATTAAAAATGTACGTGAATAAACCGTTTTCATTAACTCGGGCGGGTTTTTTATTGTGACAAGTGAAAATGTTAAATTTAATCCTCGATTTTGCGCGTGGGCTCCTAAAGAAGTCTTGTTGACTTCGCCTACGCTAACCATCGAGAGTGATAAGAATGTATAAGCGGCTAAGAGCATTTATTTACTTTGTGGGAATCATGAGCCCGTATGGTTAATACTGGGTGACCCGCTCTCTGTTGAAACGTCGGAAGTATTTTACAAATTGAAGGCAATTACGGTGCATCCATTTGCCGCCATGGCCGATTTTTTTTTCCCCACACACAGATGTCATTCAAAAAAGTAGTGACACTTCGGTCGCTGGCTGTGAGAATTCCAATTTTTCTCTTCATATAAATCCAAAATTCAGGAAGTGACAAAGTTTCCAATTTGACCTTCAGAGCTGTAAAGTTCCGTAACATGTTCCTTGGCTTTAAACGGTGATTTATTTTCTCACCGACTGTGACTAAAAATGGATTTTGCATCCATTCACGTTGCTGAAGGGTTGTTATTTCTGATAAAACCGTACTTAAGATTGCTCTCAAGATTACTGAGATGAGTCAAAACAAGGTTTAAATTCTTCAAGTATGTAATGATTGTCTTCCGTGTATTCACTCGTACTGGCAAACTTTCCTGTGGCGTCGCATTCACCAAAGCCTTTTTCATAGCATCCTCTCTTTCATGAATGCTGAAACTTTGTCAAGAAGTATGAAAAAACGGTTATATTTGGACCCTGAGGAGAGTAGTCCGTTCAGCTTATCAGCGACATCTGACATATAGCAGAACAGCAAGTCACTTCTTCTTATCTTGTAAGTGTTGATAAAGTGGGGAACCAGAGTCCTGTAAAACACTTCTCTTTAAGTGATACATACCCTCATACGTCCTTTGCAACGTGTATTACACCTGTCATGTTCGATAGTTCCCACTTTAACGGAGCAAAACTCAACAACAAGAATCAAATTTTGGTATTTTCATAATCTACTTCAGTAGCTAATTATAACTAACAATGTTTCATGTGACAATTGCTGAATGTCGTATCATAAATAGCAACAAGGTGATGCAACAGACGAAGACCTCAAGTTCTATAGCATATGTTCCAACACTGTAAAAATTAAGGCACGTGCCACTACGTACTAGAACGTTCCAGAGATCCTTCAGTGACGTCATTGGTCGTAGTACACGTCATGCCTGCTCTTCTCTGAACCAGAACCATAACATATATTTATACTTTAAATTCGCTTTTATTGCGAAAAGTATATGCTACTAAAATTATAATTTATGGTTTTTTTAAATATTCAATATAAATATTTCGTGTTAAATTTAAATATCAGAAGAGCAGTATTTCCGTGAACTGCAGCGGGAAAATGGGTCAACCAATCATGTTGATGCTTCAGTAGTATTCATGAATCCCGCTTGCATTGACAATCTCCTATTGGCCACTTGCCCTCGAAACTTCTAGAAACCCACCTATTCATGTGATATATCCGGTGCGTGAGGACAGGTCGAGTCATTTGGTCGGTGATCTTCGGTAAGGGAAGACGTTGGTAAAAGCTGTTGAAAAATTTTAAGGATAGACAAAGGTATGTAGTAACTTGTGGTATTGGCATTATCTTTTTTCATATTTGGTTGATGAATGAGGCAGTTTTCTGTGTAAGTTCATTCTAGGTGTATTTTGCTTAGATAGTTTACTGCAATTTATAGATGTGACATTTTTATGTATATTCATATTATTGTGGGGAGGATTGCAATAGTATTCGTTCCAGGTTTTACGTTGCTAATATAATATAATATTACCATGCCCAAGGTTATACGTGGTCGGACGCCATCTTCGAGTTAGGAACGTAGGCAAGCATGTACGGGAACAGTTTAATGCGTTAGCGTCTATAAATCTGGATTCATATTTTATGAACACAGAAAACAGTTGCAGGTGCTGTGTTAATGGACAGTGGTTCATTTATTTAGGGTAACACCGATCTTCTACGTTCCAAGATAGGAACAAAAAAAATTACGTTAGTCACCGCGATGGAGTAGGGTGTGGGTTGCGTCAGTCCAGTTGCATCACCAATGCTGGGCATTGGACCTTCATTTTAGTACATTGTGATTTACAGTAGGGAAATGTTCGTTTGTATCAGTTTTAGGTTTTAAATTAAGTGCACTTCATGGGCTTTGAAGATGTTCTATAAATACATTTCTTTGTCTTCTGAAGTTTCCTTGTAATGCAAACGTTTTTTGCGCCAAATTAATATAGGTTCTGATATGTACTGGCCAGTCGCAGGTCTACAGGTGTTTTGTAAGGATTTTTGTGTTAAGCACGAATGAAAGGAATATTTCCCAAATGTTCAATTTTGGGCCCAGAGAATGGCTATCTTTTTTTTTGTGGTTTTCCTGGCATGAGATTGGCCATTTTTAAACTACGTATGAATGTCTGACAAGGAAGTGGTTTCAGGATGGGAAAGGCATTGCAGTGGAATGAAGTTGATTCATCTTGGTAATTCTGTGATTCATATATACCCTGTGCAGGGTATGCAGTCAAGTTGGACTGGGTGCAGAATGTTTCCTGCCCAGGCCAACCTTTCTGCTGTATGACTCACATAGAAAATTTCTAGACTTCATTGTTGGTTATTATATGGGAATGGAAATACCACACCTGATACTTGCTTCCAAGTTATTATTGTCTTACACAGAATGTCTAATTTTTCATCATTCAGGCTGAAGAAGGGTGATAGTAGATGAATTGGATTTGGTTCTGGATTACAAAAAGTTTTATTGGTGCAAGAACAAGTTTTTGACAAAGTACAAAAATAAGCTGTGTCAATGACACATTGTATGTAATGTCTTGAGTTAGTTGTGCTATCTTGGGATTTTGGGGCAAGAAGTAACCCTCATATTTGAAGTAGGGGAAGAGATGTGTTAGTAGGAAGGGGGTGCTTTGTTCATTATAACACATTGCTGGGAATTAACCTTTGACTGCTCTCCAATTATTGCAGCTGACATTGGAGAATAAGGGCTGTAGTGTTAGGTGTCCCAGAAATTATTTTTGTGAAATTGTTTTATAATTATTTCACCCATCACTGCTGCAAGTGTTTGCAACATTTAGCAGGGGAGTGTTTACTCACCAACCACCAGTTTTGACCTGGGATGGGGACTTTGCCATTCCCCAGGAAGGACCATAGTTCTAATTAACTGATTTGTTAGAAGGGCAACATACTAATTAGTTCTATTCCTTGCCATGTTTTTAGTTGAATAACTTGTTTTGCAGATTCAATATGGCAACTACACCAGCTGTTGGTATTGATCTTGGCACAACCTACTCATGTGTTGGCGTGTTCCAACATGGAAAGGTTGAAATCATTGCTAATGACCAAGGAAACAGGACAACACCTAGTTATGTAGCTTTCACAGATACAGAAAGATTGATCGGAGATGCGGCTAAGAACCAAGTGGCTATGAACCCCAATAACACGATTTTTGGTAAGTTTGTGTAAAATTGTTTTGGGGGGGGGGAAATGCTTTGAGGGTGCAGCAGATGTAGTGTTCAGGAGTTGGTTGCAAAAAAAAATTCGGCACAACCATGGTTAAATTTGAATTTCTTGGTTTTAAGAGAATGTTAACTTTTTGTGAAACAGCAAAGTTTTTGGTTGGAAATTTTTTACGAATATTATTCTGTATTATATGAATGAAATGTTTTGAGTTTGGGCTCCATTTGTTGTGTTGTCTGGTTATCCCTTTCCGTCACTAAATTTGGGTCTCGGTTAACTAGCTCGTCCACAATGTACGACATTTCACGACAGATTCAGCGCTTTACCTGAAATAGACTCCTGCTGCTTTGGTGCTGTGCCCCTCCCAAGAGTTCTAGCTCAGAAGTCATCCTAAAGTTGTATTCTTCTTTTTCAGATGCGAAACGTCTTATTGGACGTCGGTTTGATGATCTTACCGTGCAAGCAGACATGAAACATTGGCCATTCACAGTTGTGAATGATAGTACTAAACCAAAGATACAAGTTCAGTACAAAGGAGAAACAAAGACTTTCTTCCCCGAAGAGGTGAGCTCCATGGTGCTGACGAAGATGAAGGAAACTGCTGAGGCGTACCTCGGCAAGTCTGTGACAAATGCTGTCATCACGGTCCCCGCCTACTTCAATGATTCCCAGAGGCAAGCCACAAAGGATTCTGGTGCGATCGCGGGTCTGAATGTACTCCGAATCATTAACGAACCTACAGCTGCGGCTATCGCATATGGCCTTGACAAAAAGGTACGTAAAATTATGTAAATGTTTAATGAATTTGCTTTAAGACCTCTCGTATTATAATATAATTTGTTCTAATGATCCCTTTGCATATTTGCAGGGGCATGGAGAACGCAATGTTCTGATCTTCGACTTGGGCGGTGGTACTTTTGATGTCTCCATCCTTACCATTGAAGATGGAATCTTTGAAGTAAAGTCTACTGCTGGAGACACTCATCTTGGCGGTGAAGATTTTGACAACCGCATGGTCAACCACTTTGTCCAAGAATTCAAACGCAAGTACAAGAAGGACTTGACCTCAAACAAGCGCGCAGTCAGAAGACTGCGTACCGCCTGCGAACGAGCGAAGCGCACGCTTTCATCCTCCACTCAAGCCAGCATCGAGATCGATTCGCTGTTTGAAGGCATCGATTTCTACACGTCCATCACCCGAGCCAGATTCGAAGAGCTAAATGCGGACCTGTTCCGTAGCACCATGGAGCCGGTTGAGAAATCCCTCCGAGATGCCAAGATGGACAAGGCGCAGATTCACGATATTGTCCTAGTTGGCGGGTCAACACGCATTCCTAAGGTTCAGAAATTGCTCCAAGACTTCTTCAATGGGAAAGAGCTGAACAAGTCGATCAACCAAATTGCTCCAAGACTTCTTCAACGGGAAAGAGCTGAACAAGTCGATCAACCCTGATGAGGCAGTGGCGTATGGAGCGGCTGTACAGGCAGCAATCTTGGCTGGAGACAAGTCGGAGGAGGTTCAGGACCTGCTTCTGCTGGACGTGACTCCTCTTTCTCTTGGTATTGAGACAGCTGGAGGAGTGATGACTATCCTCATAAAGCGTAACACAACCATCCCCACAAAGCAGACCCAGACATTTACTACCTACTCAGATAACCAGCCAGGTGTGTTGATCCAGGTATACGAGGGCGAACGAGCCATGACCAAGGATAACAACCTGCTCGGAAAGTTTGAACTCACCGGAATTCCTCCCGCACCGCGAGGTGTCCCTCAGATTGAGGTGACTTTCGATATCGATGCTAACGGTATTCTGAACGTAACGGCCGTAGAGAAGTCGACCGGAAAGGAGAACAAGATCACGATCACAAATGATAAGGGTCGGCTGAGCAAGGAGGACATCGAACGTATGGTGAATGATGCGGAGAAATACCGCGCTGAAGATGAAAAGCAGAAGCAGACCATTTCTGCCAAAAATGCTTTGGAGTCGTATTGCTTCAACATGAAGAGTACGATGGAGGATGAGAAACTGAAGGATAAGATCTCGGAAGCTGATAAAACTACCGTCATGGACAAATGCAACGAGGTTATCCGCTGGCTGGATGCCAACCAGCTTGCTGAGAAGGAAGAATTTGAGTCTCAGCAGAAGGAGCTGGAGTCGGTCTGCAATCCGATAATGACGAAACTCTATCAGGGTGCTGGCGGTATTCCTGGAGGGATGCCAGGAGGATTCCCAGGTGCTGCTGGCGGCGCGCCAGGGGCTGGTGGAGCAGCCGGCGCAGGAGCAGGACCAACTATCGAGGAAGTCGATTAAATACGATTTTATTATAAAATTCACAATTATAAAAAAATAGGGCCAATGCTGAATGGTTTCAATTGGTTTTGATCTGTAGATGTGCTGAGTAATGCAATTTAAAAGTTCCAAATTATGTTCATGAAATGATTTGTTGTGTGTATAGCGCACTCTGAAGTTGATTAAAAGTGTTGTATTGCAGCACATTAAAAAAAGTTTTAGGAAAAATCTTGTATTGGAATTAATTGTCAAGTGTGAACAGTGCATAGTTTTCATTCCAATTTTAACAGTATTAATGTCCAAATGTTAGAACTACATGAAGGTACTGGTTGTAACTTTTTATTTTGCAGTAATTTATTGAAAGTAAAACTTGTACATACAATTTTTTTTTGCAGTTCTAGTAAATTTGGTCATAATTAAGTGGTGTTACTTTTCCTATCCTTGCTCCATTTGAAACAAGAAAATTGTCCTGTGATGACTGAACTGATTAGCAGTGCTCTCGTCAATTAAACAATTTATATTTGTGTAGTTTGGACTCCTTAAGAGGGGTTAAAGTGATGTCAGGTGGCTGCCTCTCGGAGGTTTTTTAGTTTTGTAAGGTACTACTGGAGTGTTCTGACATTCCCAATTTTGGCTTGCACTTGATTGAAAATATGAAGGCTTGTGGATTTGTATACAACTTTTGTATTTTAGGCAGAAATGGTTTGAGCGTAGTAACTGGCAGTGGTTAAAATCAAGACTGAAGTAGTTCTTTTATGCCATTTTATAGAGTCCTGTCTACACTTCAGCCTTCAAAGAATATCTTTGGTACTACAATGCAGAATACAGGCGTCATAAGGAATGTGGGTGTTCACAAAGTGTACATTCCAGTGGTTGAATGCTGACACCCATACTTCGCTTTAGCATTAATCCTAATTTGCCTTACTAAGTTAATGAGAACATGTCCTAGGTGAATTATTGGCTGGGCTTTTAAACTTCATCTTATTCACAAACGTAAAAGATTCAGGGGTTAGTAAGGACTGCAACTGCTCAGACATACTAAACTGCCAAAGTCTTTTTTATGTTCTATAAAATAAAGAAGCTGATAGTCGCTAGCCAGTAAATACAACGTAGCTTTATCAATTAACGTTAGGTTTTATTAAAAATACAAGGAAATAAAATGCTGGACATAAATTGCAATGATCTGTTTTTGTCCGAATAATTTGGGTGAAGTTAATTTAGGTGTAATGAAGAAGACATTATAGTAATAAAAAATGGTGAGGTAGCTGGAATGATTTGTGGGCAAAATAAATGTAACGAAAGTGTTGCAGATCAAATTGCTGTAGGCGGAATGGTACATAGGCGACATTTAAGTGGGTAAAGTGTAACCAGTTTGCTAGTAACAGAAGAAGAAGAAGAATTTTTGTTTTGGTTCATCTGTGAAGAGAATAGTCAGTGTCAGTGTTTAGGTTATGTTGAATGTGGCGTGTACAGGAATGGATTTGTGCAAGAAGTTATTCGGACTTCAACTAATATGTTTCTTTGTAAGTATGATTGAGACACGCCTGAAGTAGTAAGAATAATAGATGTGTATAAACTTTCGTATTTCTATGTAAGACTTGAGGTTCTCACAGCGGTGAGTATGAAGATTTCCGTCTTCTGGGTTATTGCCCTGTGTAGTCTGGTCGATGTTAACCAACGTTTCAGAGGTCATACTGCCTCCGTCATCAGAGCGATGAATATGCCAGGACTCTGCCCTGAGTTAGGTTATTAGTTGGTTGGGTGTTGGTTATTTGAGATGATCAGAATATGTAAGCAATGTTATGTGTGTACTATGTAATTTGTATTTGTGTTAGGTATCCCTGAGCAGCTTGTGATGGTGTTTAATGAGAGGAGATCCTTGATGCATAGCTTATATGTTAAGCGTAGTTGAGCAGCTTAGATATAATAATTGCAGAATTTATTTAGTAATGATGTTGAATACAATTTCACAGGTTACAGTTGAATGATGAAAGAAAGATGGTAAGTTGAGTGTAGTGACCAGCAGAAGTTCCCATCTGATAGAATAACATGAAATGTCTGATGTGACTCTGAAAAGTCACAATTAAAATCAAGTGTCTCGAGGACCCATCCCGCAATGTGTATTTCCTGGTTTCCTTTTTTACTTCTTTCGAGATAGCTATGTTTTATAATCTTGCCTGTTGTTTTGTATGGGTGCGAAACATGGTCTCTCACTCAGAGGGAGGAACACAGATTGCAGGTGTTTGAGAATCGGGTGTTGAGGAGGATATTTGGGCCTAGGAGAGAAGACGATGGGG